GGGATCGCCGAGAACGCGCGAGGGACCATGTTTTCCAACAGGAAGCAAGTCTACGCCATCAAATCAGCGGCCGTCAACCGAAGAAGGAGGCGCAATCTGGCATGCAGTCGCTGTCGCCGGCCTCCAAGACGGCCCTGGTTGAGTACATCCAGCGTTGTTCCTGCAGCGGCTTTCTGTTGACTCCGGCCCACGTGCGCAGCTACGCCAACACCATCGCACGTCCGGTTCCGGGTCAGCCCGGCCCAATCAAAGTTGGGCAAGGGTGGATCCGGAACTTCCTCCTCCGGCATCCCGATATCAAGTTGTCGTGGTTGCGATGTCTCGACAACGCACGCCTCAAAGCCACCGACGAGGCCGGTATACGCTCATGGTTTGATCGTCTCGCCGATATCTTCCGCGAGTATGGCGTAGCGTCGACCAACATCTTAAACATGGACAAGACCGGCTGTCCGTTCCGACAGACCGTAAGCGAGCGGGTTCTTGTGCCCGACGGCGATCAAGCGGCCCGGTTCAAGTTGCAAGCAACCAATCGCGAGATGGCAACGGCGATCAAATGCATCGGATCCGGCGGACAGGTTTTGCCGCCGCTCATCATCACGCGCGGTAAGGTTCATACGGTCGGAGAACACCGGCAAATGGAGGGCGTTCCGACCACGTGGCACTTTGCCAAGTCGGCAAATGGTTGGACGTCCAACGAGCTCGCCGTTCAGTGGCTCGAAACCATCTTTGATCTCAATACGAGACCTTCGTTGCCATCAAAATGGCATCTGCTCATCATCGACGGCCATGGTTCGCACGTCAGTACCAAATTCCTGGACGCCTGTTGGACCCGTCGTATCATTCCGTTCCTGCTTCCGCCACACTCGACACACGTCATGCAACCGCTTGACGTGTCGATCTTTGGCCCGTTGACAGCCGCGTACAACCGGAGGCTCAACGACATCACGCCGCATCTCGTCGGAGACATCGACAAGGCCCGGTTCGCCACCATATACGCAGAGGCACGGGCCGCAACAATGACGTCAACTGCGGCCCGGAAGGCCTTCACGGACTCCGGTATCTCACTCAACCCGACCCCGGACAAGGTCTTGGCCCGACTTCCGGGCGGTTCGGATGCAAGTTGTTGATCAGAGACGCAGGAACGGCCTTTGAAGCCGCTACCGGCGCCAAAGTCAAATGCTGCCGTTGACTACGCCCTCGACAACTTCCGTCAACTCACGGACGACAAGGAGGCGCACAGACTCAAGTGGGCGATCATGGAGGCGTACGACGCGCCGTACAACACCATCTTGGTCCTTCAGTCCGAGAATACGATGCTTCGGGCCGAACAGGAGCGCATCAAGCTAGCGACGCGCAAGACTCGCACACGGCCGAAGAAAGGCGACCTGCGAGTTATCTTGCGCAAGAACATGATCAGTTGCGATCATGCTGAGCGCGAGCTGGCAGCGAAGGCTCCCGTTGCCATCAAGGACGACCACCGACATCATCTTGACGAGGAGGAGCACGACATAGCACCACCAACTGCCTCAGCCGACGACGGCGACGAAGCTGATGATGATGGCGACGACGACATCTACGCAGCACTTGACAACCCTCCTCCACCGTATCCGTTCACGCCGTTGGATATCCTCGACGCCATCATGCCCTTCGACACCATCAACGACGACGACTCATATTCGGGTACCTTTTGGGACGAGGTACCCGAGGCCAGCTCATCTCGCCTTCAACTCTAGCTCTCTTGCGCTCATCATGTACGTTCGTCTCACACCATCTTGCAATGCAGTTCTCGGCTCGTCACAATCACAGACTGGGCCCGTCGCCATCACACAAAAGTACTGACACCATATCGAATTTCAACTCAAATAACGCGTCGTTACTACGCGTGCATCGTTACTACACAAAACACGTTAGCTTGTTGATCGGAATCCCAGACCTTGC